GCAGCGGGGGCCACATTAACTACAGCCTTGTGAAGAACAACAGTGGCCATGAGATATGTTTCTGTTCTCCTACTGCTTGGACAACTGGAAGGCTTTTGTTCGTGTGCTGAAATGCTCCCACATGTGCTAATACACGAGGGATTATTCTTGACCCCCAAGCCATTTCATCCTAATAAAACAAGGCTGGACAAAAAACCGAAATAAATATCCCCTGATGGTCTGAACAAAACTCAGCACCCCCACCTCCCCCCCCACACATAGTTTTTGTGAAACATCATTTTCAACCAGTTGTAGCTTTGCTCGGGAAATTCATGCTTGGGCAAGTTACAGGTTAAAACTCACCTCCCTCTTACCAGATCTGCACAATGTTTTCACTTGTGGCAGGGGGGCCCCGCCCCGCCAATTCTGAGTAACTAAGCCTCTGGAGAGCCATGTTTTGTGAGCCGTCAGCATGTGCTTGGCATGCCCACGTTTGTTCAGTACGAAAAATGTAGGTGGACAACCAGGATTGTTTCTGTCTAAAATAATTGAACTGTAAGTTGCAAATGTAAATTGCAGATTTAATCCTTTTTTTTAATTAGTCTCATTTCAAATGTCAGTGATATTTACATAACAAGATGGAAACAGAAGACAGTGAGGGGGTGGGTAGGCAATGAATGATTTATTAGAGATTCCATTTGGTGAACTAGTCCAAAATAAACGAGGCAGAGCATATGGCTAACTTATTGTCTGTTTGTGTGTAATAAAAGATGGACGCTAATACCTCCCAGCCTGATCTTTAATCACATATATTTGCTTTTCAATCTAGTTTTAAAACAGGACATCTATAAAACAATCCCTAAAGAGCTTACGATGAGAATCTGGCAGAAAAGATCCTTCAGATGCTGTTTGTGCCACATGAGGAAGAAGCAACTGAGCGCTGCGAGTTAGCCTGTGCCACAGAGATTGTAGGTAACTCTCCCTTGAAATTGCTGAAAATGTCTAGCTGCTTTGCCTCATTCCTCTGTTGTTTCTCTCGGCACTCTGTCTCCAGGAAAAATTCCTGCTAACTCTGGAAATGCTTTGCTCATCAAAGTGCGGGGTAAGTCTTCCTGTCCCTTCTGATGGAAGGTTCAAAGGACAGAAATTATCAGATGAATCTCCTCGGGGACTTGCCCTCACACCCATCTTTCTGTGCAGCAGGCGATGCCCCCTCGTCCCCAGCCACCCTGCAGGGCCCAGGGCCAGCCAAATGCCCATCTGCCCCTTCTCCAGGGCACTGAGGCTCAGTGGGGGCCCAAAGCCACCTGCCCAGTGCCACCACGGGGGTCGTGTGCCCTCCTGATGCAGCGTCCACCAGCCCTTCTCCCTGGCGGTGGCTTTCCCAGCGCTCCATGAAAGAGCAAACATCTCCCTCTCCGTTAATTTGCTGGTTACCCCCCTGGCCCCAGCGATAAGTACTCCCCCCTACCCTGCTGCCCAGAAAAAGGCCCAGGGGTGCCCCCCCCCCCCCGCTGACAGTCCCTGAGAGCATCTTATACAGATGGTCTAGAATGTGCGAGGACATGTTACTATAGAAACACTTACGTCCTCCCTGTCTTTTTGTGTGCTTAACAACATAGCATTCAGCATGTTTCTCTCCTGTGTACTTACTGGTCAAAGAAGAAAACCTCTTTTCCTTCACAATGCTAACTTTAAAAAAGAAAAAAAAAAGAAAGCAAGCCCATATATTGACCTTCCTTCTTAATGAAGGAGGAGAGTGAATGGAGGAGTATTAGTTTTCTGCCTCCTGGTGCTGCTGTTTGGCTGGAGGTGGCTTTCTGCAGTGCTGCATTTATCAGGGCCGTTCATCACTTCCCAGCAAGGTCACTTTGGCCTCTGTCCTGCAGTGAGCTCTGCACAAGCAGCTCCTTTTGCCTGCGGCTGGCTCCTGGGTCGGGATGAATTGTACTTATCACAGGAGCTCTCTTTGCCACGGTACGGTACCCAGGGCAGGAAAATAACATCCACCGTGCTAAAGACCTTAATGAGCCAGCAGGAGTTCATTGACCATACACACAAATTAATCTTCATTCAGAAGCCACCTTTTCGCGCTGCAAATTCAATTTTCTTCAGAACTGCCAGACTTCTCTCCACAATCTCTGAGCCAAAAATGTATTCTGCAATAGTGGAAAGGAACGCTTTTTAGACACTGTTGAGTCAGTAGCAGGCAGCTAGTAATTCTCTGCTCAGAAAATACTTGTCAGTTTCTTTGTACAAAGATTCCCAAGCAATTGTTACTTGGGCTTAAAGAAGTATCTCCTACCTTGGTGAAAACACTCTAGCCACAACGTAGAAATCTCTGATGCAACATAAGCAAATGCAGAGAGGTGATTTATAAAGGAATTGGGGATGTAGCTCTGGAAATCATTTAATAACAGTAATTCTGCAGTCCTTCAGGAAACAGGGAAAAAAATATGCTGTTCACTAAATGGCTGGCTTCCTGTTACTGGATTTCACTTTTTGGATTGGGGATTGATAAAAAATTTCTGTCTAGAGATCGTAACGCAGACAAATTTCCACAGAAGTTTACACACAAAATAGAAACCAGGCAGCTATGAAACAGGCAGATCGGGGTTAAGTTCCTCATTGTGTATTTCATTTTTGCTTGCGTGATTCTTGCTCACACATACCCAGAGTCCTTTTAGAGAAATCTATAATTATCTGTTCAAGATGAAGGATTGGGTGTGTACATCATTTCTGTTTATTTAGCTACGATTACGGTTGTATAATCACCCTTTTCACTTAAAGGAGGGGCACGCAGGCACAGCAAGTGATGTGAGAGCTCTCCCTTAGCCACTGAGGACATGGAGATGCTGCCCACCCATCCACCCAGCCAGTCGCCCACTTGGCTTCTTTAAAAGCTGAATTTTGCTTTGAAGCAAGATCTGCCTGCTCCGTGGTGTATTTATCAGAACAATCATCTTATATCACTCAGTTGCTACTGCCGTGTTTTCTGGTGTTGGAAGACATTTTTCTCTGCCTCCTCCTTGTTAATGAGTCATTCCAAAATCTGTGCTTGCTTCTAGACAAAAAAGACTCGAAAGAAAACAAAACAAAAAAACCCCAACAAACCAACACGGAGGAAAAATTGCCTTTTTCATTCAGCAGCTAGTGTTCAGTTTACAGATGTGGAGTGACATACTCTGCTTTGTAGCAATGATGGTAACATCAGACTGCTAAAAGTAGAAATTGGGTGACATCTGTCCTCGCAAACGATCAGTCAGGTTGTTTAATAAGTTCCAGGCAGTTACACCTGAACAAACTCAGTGAAGGCCATGGCTTTGTACAAATACTACTGAGGCCCTAACTGGAAAATAGTGGAGCCTTTTGCAGAAGTAGCCAAGAGCAATTTGACCTGCAGGACGATGATGTTTGAACAAGCAAGGACCCACCGCAGCTCTCGGAGCTGATGGCATACTGCAAGGTTGGCAGCGTGGAAAAGCAACCGGTTGAAGCTGGATGCCTCTGACACAGTGAGGAAGCACACAGGTACCGATCCTCCCAGCTCACTCGAGCTGGCCGGCGCTTGCCTGACCCGAGTGAAATGAAACAGGGACTGAAACCAGCAGAAAACTGTTGACTCCTCTGCGTTTCCTGCTGGGTTAGCTGGCTGAGCTGGCTCACGGAGGGCCAGACCAGCTAGTGGAACTGTATAGCCAGGAACAGGGTGCGGGAAGAGGGCTGCCTTCTTTCCTAGCAGTGCGTTGATTTAGATGAGAGAAAATATAATGTGAAACTGCTCTTTAAAAACTTTCCAAGGTGACACTGCCCTTTACAGCTGTGAGGCTATATAGGTGACCCATTAATGCTCACATCAGTCTGAGTAATGTCTGCATGCTGAACAGAGAAGCAACTGTGTCAGCGCAAAGCTGCATGGCAGGAGAGGAACTTCTCATTCCTCAGCTGGGGAATAACCAACTTCATTTTCAGCTCTTGCATAGGTCCAAGGCACTAATTAGACTCATGCTCTCGGCTGCTTAGCAGCACAGCTCTCCAGCGGAGCTCCTGACGAACCGCTCCGGGTCGGTACCACGCCATGGTCGCTGCGAGGCCAGCAGCCTCCAGTCAGGGACGCAGGTGCCATCCTGCACGCAAACACACAGCCCGTGCCCCCAAGCCGCCATAATCTGAGCTCTGCATGCGTGGGGCGGGCAGGGAGGGAAGGCGACGCTGCCCTGGGCTGACACGTTATCTGAGGGGAGCAGGAGGCCGCGGCGGGCC